AGGAATTTGATATATGCCTAATGCTTATCTATTTCTTATTCTTCTTTGGCAGGTGGAGAAGTCATTCTATTTTGAACTGACTTCCAATTTGCTGCCCCTCCAAATCGTATGCAGCTGTTCGATCAGCCACATTCAAAATAATGCCGTCATTCGTTTTTTTGGCACAAGCAGTAATGAAATTTTTCTGTTCAGGTTCTGGAGCGTAGCTTGAAGCTGATCTTCGCTCAGGACTGGCGAGCTCTGAGTACGTATCTTAACACGAAGTTGTCCCGACTTCAAGACCTGCCGTACACGGACTTCATCTTCTGTAAAGAATTTCGGGGGCATTATGCTGACAACGCCCCTGTCCCACAGTTGAAAGTTGCAATGTAAGTCTTACGTTTGGTGCTCTGAAGAAGCCAACTCGGCCAGTCTACTTTTAGGCGGCTTACTGCCGAGAATCCTGCTCACATTGCCCTCGTTGGAGAACGTCTACCGTATATTGTGACCCAAGGCGCTCCTGACGCTACAGTAATCTCTTGTGTACGATCGATTCCTGACTTTTTGGCGGATAAAAGCTTACAGGTGCGATCATCTAAAACATTAACTCAGCAGTGAAAGGGCCGTTTTGAGACCAACCACATGGCATATTGCCTGCAGCTGTACAGGGACGGGGTGTGCTCGGAGATCCTCAAAGAGGGGTTACATTTGATCACTGGAGCGAGGTGGTTGAGAAAAATGTTTCGGCTGCTGACTTTTCTTCCTTTTTTTCTTTCTCCCTAGACCTCTTTTTACCCGTCGTGCGCTATATATGTCCTCCCCAACCCCTGTCGAGGGCATTTTTTAGGAGAAAACTGATGAGTTTCCGGAGAAAAGTGGTGGGAAGTTGGGAGAGTCTACGAAAATAGTTGATAACGCGGGGAATGCGCAAGAGTTCTTTGGGAGGAGGAATTTTTCGGGCGGAAGGGGTCGCATTTTGCTAATCTCATTTGTTTACCCTGTTCACGTCCTCTGCTCAGCATGCAACAGGCCGCCGGCAACACGCTCACAACTGTGCCCATGAGAACGCCCTTTCCTCCGTGGTATGATCTGCAAGCTGCAACATACAAGATCAGCATTTGAACGTTCAGTGAATTCTGTCAATTTTGGGTCCTCGTTTTGCCAGCCACAATTGTTCCGGAGATGTTTCGATTTCAGATTCACTTTACTTACTACGCTCATGTACACATTCTTCCTGCCCTTCGACGAGTTACTGATCTCCTGCCACTTACTATAACGTGGCGTGCAGACGCCGCATCACTCTGTTTCACGTAAGGAACACCTACTCTTATGAGGTTTTTATTCAAACATGACTGTTGCTACTTAATTTTAGGCCAGGATGCCTGACAGCAGGTGGAGATCCATGGTGTTCTTGTTGTGTAGAATATGGTTCCACATTTCGATTTGCTCTCGCTTCATTAGCCCGTGAAGAGCGATTGCGGGCCATTGCGCGGCTTGCCTGCAGTCGTTGTCAAAATGGTGTCCATTGTGATATGAATCAGTGCCAGAATCACAGCTGCAGTGTTAGAAAAAGTGAGTTGTTCTGCTTGAATAAATTCCATATTCTAGTATTACAAGTTACTAACGGTGAGCAGCGAAACGTCTCCCAGAAATTCGAATAGCGACTACTTTCCTTTGTAGATATTCTCTGCGTGAAAGTTGAGGTGAGTTCCAAGCTTTCCTGAGCAGACGTAGCTGCATGTATTCCCTTATATTGAAAAAGTTTAGTGAGGTCTGAACTCATTCAGTCGTTTCCAAATGAACCCGCGGCCCAGCTGAGCCTACATTTCATTTGGTGTTGCGGTTGGCCTTACCGAACTTGTCAAGACATTCGAAAAGACTCAGTTTTAAAATCAGTTGACCTTCGCGAGTCGTTGTACGGATCAAATCACATTTAGAGCATCACTGCTGTCTCATCTAGTCGATAAAAAGCTTTTCTCATCTAGTCGATAAAAACCTTTTTGCTGTTTTCTACCTTCAAGTTCAAGAGCGCACATCACGGCTTTAGTGAAACTTCACTGAAACTTCAATAAACAACAGTGCAGTCATCACTACCTAAACACTTCTGTGACATGGAAGTCCGGTGAATAGGGGCTATGAAATTGGTGAATCTTGCTGCAGCTTAGAGTTGGGTCTTGGAGCATTCTTCTGAGAGCCGTCGAGATCCTCCCTATACCCGCTGCTGAGGAAGTGGATGGTAGCTTTGGTAAATGTAAAGGGTGCAGCAGGATCTCATAGTCTAGCCTTTTGGATTTCTTTAGGGAAGGCTGTGCGAAGTGGGCGCGAACTGTTGTCGTCGACTAGGAATCGTCTTCTGCTCTTAAACAGTGGCTGAAGAGCTACAGTTCATGGCGCTCTCGCCCAGATCCATGAGGCTGTGGTGGATCGGACCAGCTGCACCTCACTAAATCACCTCCAAAACCATCGTTGCGTGCTCCTCTTGAGAGGATGTTTGGGAGTTTGATTCCTGTTTAGCCAGAGACCAGATCGTCGCCTATTGTCGTACATAGACTATCTCTCATAGCACTTCGCCATAGGTTATAGAAAAGAGTCAATTCTGCAGTGCTCAGGCTTATTGGATCAGGAGTGAGAGAATGCGCATCGCAAGATGCAGTGTGGACAGCTTCAATCGCCAAGCATTATACTTTGAACTCATTTGTATCAAAGGGCACCAAGATCGTAAGAAACTTCCAGCCACCGGATAAATAGAATGCGTTGCTTATTTTAGAAGGGGCCTGATTAACACAGAAAAAAGAAGGCAGAAGCAGAAAAACAAAATGGGACTGATGAAGTCACGTTTTCATGAGGTTGCTCTTACAGTGGATCATAGACTCTGCCAGGAGTTTGATCCTTTGGCTTTTCCGAGCTAACTCTTAGCTCCTAACCGCGCTTGGGGTCTGATTACCTTGTTTTCTTCCATTTCGGATTATCCAAACTTGCATAGCCAGCCGACTCCTTCGGGTACGCTCGTCGTGACATCATCACAAGGGGGGGGGTTCGTCATTGACCGCGAAGGAGGGGGGTCGTAATTGCGTTCACTTTTCTCAGTTCATACGACACGCACTACTATTTCCGACACTTGAAAATGACAGTTTATTTTGACGACCTTCCTCCCCCCCCCCTCCCATCCCACCCCGCCTTGACGCTCGGTGGTTCGATGAGCAAGGACAGAGGGCTGGGGAGGGGTCGTACCAGCCTCCCGAAGGGGTGGGGGTCTGTATTTGAGCAATAATGATCACAAACGGCGATTGGCGTGCCCTGCTCCTCACCAATCTATCGTCGCCTGCTAAGTCGGCAAACTTATTCCTGACGATGAGTATCACTTGCTATTAGTGTCTCGCGAGAAGTTGTGAGAACAGCTTATTCAAAAACTACTACGTTCTCATAGAAGCTCTAAGACGTCTTTTCTGGATCTTAAGCGGGTTTAGCTGAAAAGTGAACTTACCTTTCGTCAGGTTCTGTCATTCAAGGCAGCTCCCTTCTTGAGCAGTACGTTATGTACAACATGGAATAATTTCACATTTCAGATCTGGAACGGTCTAGAGCGGAGCAAATCGAAACGAGCTGTGATTACTCATCGCCTTCATTCAAATTACAACCCTTTCAATTTAATGGTATTTCAGTGACGTTTTGATATGTTTTACATGAGCAATTATAATTAATTTATTGAGAATATTTAAAATGAAAAATAACAACAGTTGTGTAGAGTTCAAAACATAAGGTCATCGGGTAATGACGATGTTATCGTAGGGTTTGTTTCGTGGGCTGCTGCCTTTCGAGACGACCACATAAATGACAATACCCCAGATGACGATCGCCAGCACGGCCACCAGCAACCACAGAGCCCACCATGCTCGTCGATAGGCGCTCAACTGAAAATGCCTCCGAAGTTTAGTTTTCTTTCCTTCATCGGGGCGGTACGAAGAAAGAAAGATTGTTGAGGTGGCCACGTGACGGCGCGACTGTGCGACGTCATGTTTGCTTGTCTGCAATCTCTCACCGGGTAGAAACATGATATTAACCACCCCGAGTTTTAGAGCTAGGATAAAGTACCATTAGGAGAATCCCATCAGGGGGCCGTCGAGGATGTTGGGTAGGAGGATCGTACTTGGTCTTGACAAAAATTTCTGAACCCTGAGAAAATTTGTTTGGTCGTTACTCTGCGTTCATACTTTGCGGAGCGTCCATCAGCGTTCCGAGCGTCCGGCAGCGTCAGCGACTAGGAAAGTATAGATATCGATCTAGCGTCTGCCAGCGTCCACCAGCGTCTAGCAGCGTCTGGGAGTGGAGAGTATGGCGCGATAGGAGGGTAGCAGACAGCTGGTACTTTTCTGTCACACCATACCCTCTACCAGCACTTTGCATTGATGGACGCTGGTAGACGCTGGCAGACGCTAGATCGATATCTATACTTTCCTAGTCGCTGACGCTGCCGGACGCTCGGAATGCTGGTGGACGCTGCCGCAAAGTATGAACGCAGCCTCATCTTTCAAAATGCTGATGATGATGATGGTGTTGATGATGATGAAGATGAAAGTGGTAGGTAGGATATGGGGAACGCAGTCGGGAGGGAAGACGAGGGGAATTAAGCGGTCGTACCGCAGGGAACCATTTGGGATTTGTCTGACACAATTTATCATATCCCGATGGTATACCCTGCTTCGAGAAAAACATGGCAGATCAAGAAAATTGATGTAGTCGCGTCGCAGCGTAGCACGACCATCTACCTGTGCTCCGAAGTTTTCAGTGGTGCTTACCTGAACCCGCTCCTCGTTTGTTAGGTCGGCATCTGGATCAACAGGGACCTCTCCTTCGGAAGTGGCGTGACGACTGATAAGCTCGGCCTCGACATTCCAGAATTTTGGATGGGGCCAATGCAGTTCTCCTTGTATAACCCTGAGAAGCGATGCCCATGATATAGGTTGTCCTGTTTTGAGCTAACTCTCAAATCAGTCACTCACTTTGGTGGGAGGTTGATGGAGACATGTTCAAATGATTTATTGCCGCCGAACATTGGCCACGCGAATCTGAAGAAAGCGTTTGTGTAGCAAATTACTGTTTTGTTCCCAGCCTGTTCTCCAATAACTGTTTAAAAGGGCAAGCAACACCGATTGGGGGGCAGCGGGCTGGCTCCGCATCAAAGTCAGCCTCATGACATGCCCAGCAGGGGCTGGGTTTAGTGCGGCATAAGGTTGTAGGGCCCTCAGTTGTACAGGTATATGCCAAACTCACCGTTTTGTGGAGGGATCACCAGTCTTTGCGAAATTCGTGATCATATTCGTCAGAATCTTTGCCATATTCTCGTCCTCTTTGGTGAATGGTCGAATTTCAAAGTTACTACTGTATCCCTTGGAGAAGATGAACGCGTGGTCTAATCCATGGAATGCTTCCAATTTGCGATCTGTAATACGGGTTGTCGTTTCATGCCTACTTCATGAAAACATGCCTTAATTTTTCGTTTGTTCCGTCCCGATGTCGTTATCTGACCAACTCTGTCTCCCTGATGAGTCCAGGAGTTGGCAGAATATCGGTGGTTCGTTACAGGGTACGGAACGAAACATCTGTGTGATGTAATAGTCTCTACCTATGATCACTTCTCCTTTTATGGAAAGAAGTGATGATACCAGGATATCATGTCAGGAATTCAAAACCGAACTATTCTCTGAGCCACTCAGGGGAGTGGTAAAATGAATGAATGATGTTGTAGCAAAAGGTCGGTTCAGGTGTCCCTCAAAGAAAAGAAAAAAAAAACTTAAAGGCAGTTGGCACGATAAATCGCTATACAGATGTAGGATTTATACGACTGGCTTAACAGAATTCCGTGACCTCGGACAGGCGCTCCGTGGCGCCTTTTCCAAGGAGGGTACCCCTATAACGCCCTATCGAGCAACAACATTCCGTCCCAAACGCCTTCCTCGCCCGCCCGCCCACAAATGGACGACCGTTCCTGACGCTCTAATCGATTCATTTGCTAAGCAAATTATGAAGCGAAGGGATTGGTATGAAGCGGCCGTGATGCTGCATGCATACATGGGTACACATATGCAGCCGTATCTTCGGTAGCGGTGATTGGCAAGATGCCTACGGGAAACTCGTCCAAAATTGATTTTGAACACATTGAGAACGGAGGCTCTTTTCTTCGCAGGATTTTGACCGTTTCACTCCGTTCTTTCGCCATTTCCCCACTATATAGCGCCCTACTAGCATTTTAGGCCGAGCGGGAAATCATCGTGCCAACTGCTTTGATCAATGTTGTAGGAAAGGACCCGTTTCGCCTTTCCTACGACCATTGTTATTCCGTCAACTACGGGCTAGGGGAAGTCTAGAGTATGAACGCTTACTAAGAGGCGAGCTACAATTCCTTCCATATCTTCGGGTTTGATTATTGAATTCAAAGTCATCTGTTAGTGAGAGAATAAAAACAGAGCCTTGCGTACTGGTTGATCCTCACAAGTCGTTGTATGATCCTGCACCGTTACGATTCCGAATCAAAGTGGATGCGTGGCGCGTGCAAAAAGGGACTGGTCAATCCTTACCCTTCTTGGCTCTACCCGTTTTTGATCGCATCTGTGGAGCGGCATTATTTTATAATACGGATCGAGCCGTTGAAGTAAAGGAACGATTCTCTGAGAGCTTGATCCAGGGAACATCATCAATTTGGGATTTTGGTCGAGTCCATACGACCCCCCCCCCTTTTTTTAGGGAGTTGGTACGATCCCCTCCCCCTCCCCTTCCTTCCTCATCCTGCCTACCCTTTCTTGGATTTTCCCAAGCTTTTAACATTTTTTCCGGAACTACCCAAAAATTTTCTTACTCTTCCCTTCTTTACCCAAAAATTTTGCTGTCGAGCGGGGAGGGGGGTCGGGAGGGGGATATAGTACACATGAAAAAGAAGAACTCATCAGCACTCTCTTCAGAAGGTCGGAAAGAAAATGCGACCCGCATCCCACCGAACAAAACAAACACAATCCCGCCCCTTTAAGACGTCCACGAAACAAGAAAAATCAACTATCAAAAGGAATTTTTTTCAGCCCAAGTACGACCCCCCTTCCCCCTCTCCGACCAAATGCGACCTCCCTGTTGGGGAATCCCTAAGAACGATATGCCCTGGCTTGGTCTGATTCCTTTGGGAATCGATACTCATC